TAGCGTCTGTCCTACAATACGCGGCTACGAACAGCGTCTGTTCCATAAAATGGCGGCTGAAATACAAAGTAGGAAAACTACCGAAAACCCTTCAGAAGGCAACGTGAAACCACTGAAGTATAATCATCCCTAGAAAAATCACTATGCAAGCACACGAAAATACACGGCCCTCAGTCTCCGGCAAAAAGAGGGTGCTAAGAATCGCCGGAGGTAAAACAAAACAACATCTCAAAATAGGTACTTGGAATGTTCGTAGTCTTTTCGAACCTGGAAAATTTGCCAACACAATCCACGAAATGAAACGACTACAGGTGGACATATTCGGTATTAGTGAAACTTTCTGGCCGAACTCTGGTCAATGTAGAACTGATGGAGCGACAATGTTTTATTCAGGTAATGACACTACACAACATAGAAAGGGCGTTGGAATAATTGTGTCGGAATGGTTTGTCGATTCAGTGTCAGACTTCATACCTTACTCTGACAGGATAATGCTTTTAAAATTTAACACGACCCCAATAAATTTAAATGTTATCCAAGTTTACGCCCCTATAGCCGATGCCGGTGACGAAGAAATCGAAAGTTTTTATTAAGAAATAACAAATCTACTTAAAAATACAAAACCACACGAGCTGAATGTTATAATGGGTGATTTCAACTCTAAAGTTGGCAAAGGAAAAACTGATGAAGTTGTAGGTTCATATGGTCTTGGAACTCGAAATGAAACAGGTAATCGACTGGTACAATTTTGCCAAGAAGAAAAGTACATAATTACCAATACTTGGTTCTGCCTACCACCTAGAAGACTATATACCTGGATTTCTCCGAAAGACACCAAGGAACACATTGTCAGGAATCAAATTGATTTTATACTTTTAAATAAAAGATTCAGCACATCAGTAAAGAAAGTCAGTACTTACCCAGCCGCTGACGTCCCATCAGATCATAATCTGCTTATTGCTAAAATAAAAATCAAACTGGCGGCAATTCGTAGAACACAAATACCACAAAGAATTGATCTGGATAAACTGAAAAATAATGATATATATGTTAACACCAGAATAGAAATAAACAACCAACTTCATTCTCTTAACCTTCATGAAAATAGCATAACATCTTTATGGCAAAAAACAACAGATGTTCTAAAAACTGTGGCAAAAAATAAATTAGGAACAAAAAAATATAAAGCAAAACAAAAATGGATGACAGATGAAATATTGGATCTTATGAATGAACGAAGAAAATATCGCAACATTAATCGGGTTGAGTACAACCGTCTTCAAAAATTAATTCGATCCAAAATTAGACAAGCAAAAATTAATTGGCTCGATCAAGAATGTTCCGAGATTGAAGGTCTGCAGCATCGCCACGATGATTTTAATGTACATAAAAAAATCAAGGAAGCTTCCGGTGTTTACCGGAAAACATGTCCATCTGTTTTGGTAAACAGGCAGAATGAAATTGTTACAGCCCAGGAAGAAAAACAAGAGATCTGGAAAGAGTACATAAGCCAGCTTTTCTCGGATACTACAAGATCCGACTTCATTCAGGAATCATCAAGACAATTAACAGGTCCTGCCATCACAAAGGATGAAATCATAAAGTCTATTGAATCATTAAAAAACAAGAAAGCGATTGGGCCGGATGAATTAGCAATTGAAATAATTAAGTTAATTGATGATAATAACATAAATATTCTGGAGAAAGTATTTAATAATATTTATGACAGTGGAGTTTATCCTGAAAGCTGGTTAGTATCAACTTTTATTGCTCTTCCAAAAAAGAACAACGCTAAGAGATGCAATGAGTACAGACTCATAAGCTTAATGAGTCACGCTTTAAAGATTTTTTTAAAAATTTTGCATAATCGATTGCACGAAAAATGCGAATCAGCAATGGGAGGCACACAATTCGGGTTCAAAGAAGGAATGGGAACACTTGAAGCTCTTTTTAGTATACAAGCTTTGGTGCAAAATTGCAAAGATGTGGAAAAAGATGTATTTATGTGCTTCATAGATTATGAAAAAGCGTTCGATCGAGTAAAACACGACATATTGATAAATATTTTAAGAAATATGTGCCTCGACGATAAGGACATACAGTGCATCAGAAATCTATACTGGAATCAAACTGCAGAGATTAAAATAGGACACCTCAAAACATCTAACCTGCAAATCAACAGAGGTGTTCGGCAGGGTTGTATTTTGTCACCATTATTATTCAACCTGTACTCTGAAAACATTTTCCAACAAGCAATTGGTTCAATAGATAAAGGGATTAAAGTAAATGGGATCTACATCAACAACATACGATATGCGGATGACACAACTCTGATAGCTGATAATTTGGGTGATTTGCAATATTTAGTTGACAGAGTCAATGATTACAGCAGTCGTTTCGGTCTTAATATGAATGTCAAAAAGACAAAGTTCATGATAGTCAGCAGGCGTAACAACCCAAGCATCAATTGTGATATAACAATAAATGATGTACCTATCGAGCGAGTTAACAATTATAAGTATTTGGGCTGTCACCTTGATGAAACTTGGACTTCAGATAAAGAAGTAAGATGTAGAATTGAAATGGCAAGAAGTTCCTTTATGAAGTATAAAAATGTGCTCTGTAACCGAGAAATAAACATTAAGCTAAGACTACGGTATCTAAAATGTTATGTATGGTCTATACTTTTATATGGAGTAGAATCATGGACGCTGAAGGTGATGGCTTTAAATAAGTTAAAAGCGTTTGAGATGTGGTGCTATCGAAAAATTTTGAAAATTTCTTATACGGATAGGGTCACAAATCTCGAAGTTCTGAGAAGATTAAATACGGATAGGCAAATGCTTCTAACAATTAAACGGAGAAAAATAAGTTATTTTGGTCACATAATAAGAGGTCCTTAATATGAGCTACTCCAATTAATTATTGAAGGAAAAATTGAAGGCAAAAGAAACATTGGAAGGAAACAAATGTCATGGCTCAGAAATATTCGAAACTGGACAGGTATAAGAACAATAGGAGAATTAGTCCACTGTGCCAGATGCAGAGAGGAGTATGCCAACATTATTGCAAGTCTAAGATAACGTGTGAAAGAAGAAAGAAAAAAAAAAAAAAAAGTGATCGCTTAACATCCAGTAGTGGATTAGCAGCACAAGAAGAAGAAAAGCCTTACATAATAATCATGGATCTAGTAATACATGAATATCTGACCATTGATGCAGTGTTTATGGCACCGGTCCTTTAACCGAAGGGTCTTGGGTTCAAAAACCCCGGTCAGGTCACTATAAAAATTATATTCAATATCATTATAACTTAATATACAATACTAATAAATATTATACAAGTAATTTTCAAATATTCGTAATATTCGATATTAAAAAACTAAGAAAAATAAACAGTAAATATTAATAACCTCAACTAATTAATATAAATAAAACTACGACAGGCTAGTCACCTACCTGGTTAAACTCTATGATGCTATGAAACTAGTGCATGAGGAATCATGCACTAGCCCTATGCTCCTTCTAGGAGTGAATAAGGAAAAAAAAAAAGAAAAAGTAATACATGAATAGCTAGCAATTAATAATTTTTGAAGCCAATATTAAGTTTTTGGTTTTTATTTTTTACAACATAAAAAATGTTGCTAAAAACGATTTGAAAATATGATTAGGAAATATGGATATAGTTAGAAAAATTTATGTGAGTTATTTTTTTAATAAAAAATTTATAATTTTTTAAAAAATATATACTGAATACTTTTATTTTAGATATAAATAATTCAAATAAAAATATTTATGTCTTTAATAATAAAGCAAATTATGTTTACTTAATGTTTCTGTATATTATTGCTAATTATATATTACGTGTACTACATTTAATTATTATAAAAACCAAAAGAGTTTTTGTGAGATGTTGGCGAGTATTTCCTTTTTATACCCGTACGACCGTATGTCCGAAGAGTACACTAAATTTGCCTCTCCGTTTGTAACGCTAAGAAATAATGGCATGAGATATAGACTCAAGTATATGTTTTTGTTAAGCATCGGATTCAGAGTCGATTTAGCTTTGTCTGTCCGTCGGTCCATCCGTTCGTCCGTCCGCCCTTCCGTTCGTCCCAACGATAATCTAAGTTCACCAAATTTTCACAAATTATTTATTACAGAAAATGCCAGAACCGTACTAATTTTAATAATATTAATAATATAAACTAATTTAATAATATTAAGTTTAGTTTTATCACTTGATTTTCTTAAGTTCTTTAATAGTTTATTTAACAGTTGTCACAGCGGCAGTTCACAATGTAATAATATTCTATGATATTTTGAAAACGAGGACAAATGCGCCTGCTAGTAATGGGAGAAAGGAACAAAGTCAATGTTATTATATGATAAAAGTTCCGCCAAAAAATACTATAATTTTTATATACAAGCTGATGTAATAAAACCATAAACCCCCATAATGTACAAGCCATGTTAATATTTTTGTATTTGTGTTTATAGGATAAGGTTTTACAAAAAATGAGACTATAGCATTTTTTTAGCCCATACATAATTTTCGTACGGGAACGCTGTGTCGCTGAGCGGTTAAATAATTTATTTGCTGTATAAAATTTAAATAATTTAAATTCAGTGAATACTTATATTAATTTTTGGTGTTAGTAAATAAAATGAATATTTATTAATGAATAATATTATTAATTCCACAAAGGTGGAATTTCAAAAAAAAATAACATTATTTTAAAAAAAAAAAAATTACTTAAAAAATCAGTAAGATTTGGTGCATTTTTTAAAGTTTTTATTGTAATCATATTTAAATAAAAAATATAATAGTATATATTTTATTAACTTCATATAAACATAAATGCCCCGAAAGTGAAATGCAGATATAATTCATAATCAATTACCTACTAATGTTAAGATATTAACAATTTATTTAAGTAATTTAATCTCAAATAAAAGAAAATTAAATAATTTCGTGTAATATACATAAGTCATAAAATTTTAAAGGTTTTCTTTTTTTTTAATTTTTTGCTTCGATTGTTTTTGATTTAAAAATTTCTACTTTTAACTGAGAAACATATGCAACGTATGTATTGAAAAAATTTTGGATACACAATTTGAAAAATATTTCAGTATAAACAACGTCGCAGACACAACATCAAATAAATTCTGAACATACTCGTAACTCATCGTCAAATTTTTTTGTTGATATTTCAGAAGATGATACAAATGTCCGATGCGCCGTAGAAGATACCCTATTTAAATGAAATAAAATTAATTCTGTATATAATCGTTTTTATTTTTCTAACATCCTAAAACACAATTAAAAATTCTAATTTATTCGAAAATATATAATATAAAAATATATTTTTTAGCAAAAAGTAAAATGATAAATTTTCAATACACCGTATATGCATGTATTAGTAAATTGTATATTTCGAAGGCTTATATAAAGATGCATGTGAATAAAACATACTCATTATACCCTGCACTTCTATATTAACTTTGGTATAGAGTTTCTAACTACTTGAAGGAGTTATCTGGGGTATGGACATAAACATATATATATTCTTGCTCAGCGTAAAATTCTGCGTCGATTTAGACATGTCCGTCCGTCCGTCCGATCGCACGATAACTCAAAAACGAATAATGCAATCGACACCAAACTTTCACAAGTTTTTCTTCTGTTCCAAGCACGAACCCTATTGTAATTGGACTAATTGGGACAACGGGTTCGGGTAGCTGCCATACAACTCAGAGGGTTTATTTTAAATATTTCAAAAACTGTTAAAGCTATAAATATAAAATTTTGTATACATGTGTCCAATTATATTCTACATATGCTCTAGAAATTTTAATGGGATAGCTGCACCGATTCGGGTGGCTGCCATACAACTCTAAAAGCAAGTTTTTTATATTCAGAAAAATAATGAAGTCAGATCAGAACTACTTCGCAGTTGTGTGTCCAATTATAGATCAGATATATTTGTGAAGTTTTAGTGGAATTGCTTGACCGGTTCGGGTACTTCCCATACAACTTCAAAAGCTAATTTTAAATATTTGGAAAAATTATAAAGTCAGATTCATGAAACTTGGCAGTTGTGCGTCCAGTTATAGGTCAGACATATCCGTGAAGTTTCTATAGAATAGTTTCACAAGGTTGAGTAATTGCTATACAACAACGAAAGACTGAAACGTTTTTACTTGTTTTTGTGTTATATTGTTTTGTGTTATATTGTGTTATGAGTTGAATAAGTCTGTTACGCTTCAAAAGTGATAACATTCATTTATGTATAATTTACTCTTAATGTTATTGTCTTGTTACACTTTTTTTTGCAAAATGAATAAAATTAGCAAAGAAATATAATGTGTCGTGCATTTTTGGTTTTACTCCTAAATTAAGTAGCCGAAATAGTTTTGCTTTAATTACATACATTAACATTAATAATTTTGCTTAAATTACATGCATTAGTAATAAGTTATAATAGAAAAAATAACATTTATATATGTATATGTAAATGTGTTCATATGCAGATATATAACAATCAATTCATTTACAGCCGAGATGATTGACACATCTGACATAATGCCAATATTTATATTATTTTTAGTAAATAAATATATTTATTTACTTTAATAATATTTATTTACTTTAGTAAATAAAACAAAACAATAGAAAACAACATTTACACTTTGCTAACAGATAAAGGACGCAGAAAGGTTACAAAGCTCTAGAACTTCACATACAGAGCCTTTACATTCCATAGAATTAGAGCCCTTACATTGCCCTGAATACATTCCTATATTGGTGGGACCTAGAACCTGGGTGGCAAGATTAGTGAGACCCGCGTGCCAAAGTTTTAAAGATTATATATTTTGTTATGCAAACGTGCCGAGAAGTTTTTATAAGGCAATTAAGCTGAAAAATAACTTTGTATAACAATTTCAAAAAATTAGCTATATAATCTACATTCTTGTATAAAAATTGAAATTTCAAGGATATACTACAAAAATATGGAGGGATTTCCTTGCAATTTCATATATAAGCTTCGTCTGATAGTGCTAAAAAGTGATGAGGAATCAGGTGTCGACAACAGACCTTTAATACGAGTCAAGTTCGCATTTTTGCGTATGTTAAGAGGAATAATTACCAAATTTCCATGAAATTAACTGTTTGTATTCAGGATATTATCGTTATGAACTTTTTGGAAATAAATTTTTTGAGAATTTCAGGGCTCGGAAACCGACCCAGAGGATGAAATTTGATTTGTTATATGTATGGAACTAATTGCTAGCAAAACTAAATGACTAACTTTTCAGACAAAAAAAAAAATTGGGTCATTGGTTTGCATTGTAGCACTTTTCCCTTCAACAAGTGAAAATATTGCTTTCGAAAACAGTCTATGTATACTTAACATACTATTAAAATTATTTTCATTTAAATGCGGAACTATTTATAGGATTGGATGAACGGCTTATGCAGTTTTTGAAATAAAGCAAAAATTAATTTAGCGAGGGCTTAACATATTGCTCGATTTTAAGGGTTAATTACGTGAGTTAAGAAAAATAATTATATTTTTTAATAGCATAGAATTTACCGTCATCTTTCTGCGTGTATAGAAATTTGAAAAAGTTTGTCGTTTTGCTAATCTAAGGTACTACATATTCACATTTTTCAAATTTCAAGAGGCGATAACTTGAGAGGAGGTGAAGATGGAAAAAAATTTTCTTCTGTTTATTGTTTCTCTCAATTAATGTCTGAAAGCTGTTAAAATTTCAAACTTTTACAACCTGGGGTAGAGGAGAAAAACCACATAAAAAATTTGTAAAAAACGGATTTTATATAATCGTAAATTTTAACGGCCATTTTGTTTTTTAAAGTGATAGAAGAAGCAACCAACTCTACTACAATAAAGTTGAAAAATGGCATTTTTAGATAGATGATTATTTCTCTTTATATACACAAAAATGTATATTTGGCCCGTAGTAAACGCCCAGTTGCTGATGCCTGATTTCTTCCAAAAGTTAGGAATTTTTGCGTATGATCGAGCAAAGCTTATATATGAAATTTCAAGTTAAACGGTTGAATACTTTCTTCAAAATGGTGAAAAATGTAAAATCGGCCCGCAAATCCGTTTTCGAGCCCTGATCTTTCCAAAAAAGTTATATGTTCATTATTTTAATACGAGGAGTTCATATATTAAATTTCAATGAAATCGGTTGATTATTTCTCTTTATACACACAAAAATGTATATTTGGCCCGTAGTAAATGTCTAGTTGCCGATGCCTGATTTCTTCCAAAACATACGAATTTTTGCGGACGGTCGAGCTGAGCTTATATATAAAATTTCAAGTAAATCGGTTGAATATTTTCTTCAAAATGTTCAAAAATGTAAAACAGGCCCGCTAAAAAGTGCAGTTCCCGACGCCTGATATATACCAAAAGTTGATCGATCCGTGCCATGGTGGAAACAAACTTACATATAAAATTTCATCAAAATCGGTTCAGCCGAATTGAGATACACGCGTGCACACACAGACCGACAGACCGACAGACCGACAGACCGACAGACGGACAGACCGACAGGTTGCTAAAAATAGTTTATTTACACTTCCCTACTATGGAGAAGTACGTTTGCACCGAAAACTCGATATGCAAAATTTGTTGCCATCACATAACCTACCTATTGTTTACACAATACGGTCGGTAAAAATCTGATGTGCTCAGCACATAATCAACCGCAATGTTTACTGCATAGTTAAGTGAAGTTTAGTGTTACAGAATATTATGAATTTATATTTTGAATACCTTCTTTTAATTTTAAGGAATTTAACAAGCTTCTAGTAAGCATACCAAGAAAAATGTAAATTTGACTTTTAGTAGACCTCCGCTTTTTTGCTACACGAGTTCCCTAAAAAGTTCACCAGTTATTTTCGGTAACCATCAAACTCAAATATGAAATTTCAGAAAATTCCATCAATCCGTTCCGCAAATATGGCAAAAAATATAAAATCGACTCTGAATCGCTTTCCGAATCCTGTTTTAACATCTCCATTTTTAGCACTTTTCCAAGAAATTTCTGAAAAAAGGACTTATTAGTTTCGCTCTGTTTACAAAACTTAAAAACCCTTGAAGATAGAAACTTGAAATTTTATATGAACATAGATCTTTACTAGAAACTAATTTTCGCAGAACATGATTTTGACCTATCTAAAAATGCCATTTTTCAATTTTATTGTAGTAGAATTGGTTGCTTCTTCTATCACGGCATCCTATACTTGAACTTTAAAAAACAAAATGGCCGTTAAAATTTACGATTATATAAAATCCGTTTGTTACATTAATTTTTTATGTGGTTTTTCTTCTCAACCCCAGGTTGTAAAAGTTTGAAATTTTAACAGCTTTCAGACATTAATTGAGAGAAACAATAAACAGAAGAAAATCTTCACCTCCTCTCAAGTTATCGCCACTCGAAATTTGAAAAATGTGAATATTTGGTACCTTATATTAACAAAACTACAAACTTTTTCAAATTTCTATGCACACACAAAGGTGACGGTAAATTCTATGAAAATTTACCTGAATTTCTAATTAAAATCGAGCATTATGTTAACCCCTCGTTAAATTAATTTTTGCTTTATTTCAAAAACTGCATAAACCGTTCATCCAATCCTATAAATAGTTCCGCATTTAAATGAAAATAATTTTAATAGTATGTTAAGTATACATAGACTGTTTTCGAAAGCAATATTTTCACTTGTTGAAGGGAAAAGTGCTACAATGCAAACCATTGACCCAACTTTTTTTTTGTTTGAAAAGTTCGTCATTTAGTTTTGCTAGCAAATATTAAATTTTTAATTTTAAGAAATCCCATCAATTAGTTCCATGCATATAACAAATCAAATTTCGTCCTCTGGTTCGGTTTCCGAGCCCTGAAATTCTCAAAAAATTTATTTCCAAAAAGTTCATAACGCTATTATCCTGAATATAAACAGTTAATTTCATGGAAATTTGGTAATTATTCCTCTTCACTTACGCAAAAATGTGAACTTGGCTCGTATTAAAGGTCTGTTGCCGGCACCTGATTCCTCAACACTTTCTGGCACTATCAGACGAAGCTTATATATGATATTGCAAGGAAATCCCTCCATATTTTTATAGTATATCCTTGAAATTTCAATTTTTATACAAGTATGTAGATTATATAGCTAATTTTCTGAAATTGTTATACAAAGTTATTTTTCAGCTTAATTGCCTTATAAAAACTTCTCGGCACGTTTGCATAACAAAATATATAATCTTTAAAACTTTGGCACGCAGGTCTCACTAATCTTGCCACCCAGGTTCTAGGTCCCACCAATATAGGAATGTATTCAGTGCAATGTAAGGGCTCTAATTCTATGGAATGTAAAGGCTCTGTATGTGAAGTTCTAGAGCTTCATAACCTTTCTGCGTCCTTTATCTGTTAGCAAAGTGTAAATGTTGTTTTTTATTGTTTTGTTTTATTTACTAAAGTAAATAAATATTATTAAAGTAAATAAATATATTTATTTACTAAAAATAATATAAATATTGGCATTATGTCAGATGTGTCAATCATCTCGGCTGTAAATGAATTGATTGTTATATATCTGCATATGAACACATTTACATATACATATATAAATGTTATTTTTTCTATTATAACTTATTACTAATGCATGTAATTTAAGCAAAATTATTAATGTTAATGCATGTAATTAAAGCAAAACTATTTCGGCTACTTAGTTTAGGAGTAAAACCAAATATGCACGACACATTATATTTCTTTGCTAATTTTATTCATTTTGCAAAAAAAAGTGTAACAAAACAATAACATTAAGAGTAAATTATACATAAATGAATGTTATCACTTTTGAAGCGTAACAGACTTATTCAACTCATAACACAATATAACACAAAAACAAGTAAAAACGTTTCAGTCTTTCGTTGTCGTTTAGCAATTACTCAACCTTGTGAAACTATTCTATAGAAACTTCACGGATATGTCTGACCTATAACTGGACGCACAACTGTCAAGTTTCATGAATATGACTTTATTATTTTTCCAAATATTTAAAACTGGCTTTTGGAGTTGTATGGTAGGTACCTGAATCTGTCAAGCAATTCCACTAAAATTTCATAAATATATCTGATCTATAATTGGACACACAATCGCCAAGTTGCTTGAATTATATATATTTAAAATAAGCTTTTGGACTTGTATGGGAGCTACTCGAACCTGTCAAGCAATTCCACCAAAACTTCAGAAATATATCTGATAACTGGACACACAACTTCCAAGTTTTATGAATCTGACTTTGTTATTTTTCCAAATATTTAAAATTAGCCTTTGGAGTTGTATGGCCGGTACCCGAACCTGTCAAGCAATTCAACTAAAACTTCGCAAATATATCTGATCTATAATTTCACACACAACTGCCAAGTTTCATGAATCTGACTTTATTATTTTTCCAAATATTTTAAAAAAGCTTTTAGACTTGTATAGGAGCTATTCGAACTTGTCAAGCAATTCAACCAAAACTTCAGAAATATATCTGACCTATAACTGGACACACAACTTCCAAGTTTCATGAATCTGACTTTGTTATTTTTCCAAATATTTAAAATTAGCCTTTGGAGTTGTATGGCCGGTACCCGAACCTGTCAAGCAATTCAACTAAAACTTTGCAAATATATCTGATCTATAATTTCACACACAACTGCCAAGTTTCATGAATCTGACATTATTACTTTTCCAAATTTTTAAAATAAGGTTTTAGACTTGTATAGGAGCTACTCGAACCTATCAAGCAATTCAACCAAAACTTCGGATATATATTTGACCTATAACTGGACACACAACTGCCAAGTTTCATGAATCTGACTTTATTATTTTTCCAAATATTTAAAATTAGCTTCTGGAGTTGTATGGCAGGTACGCGAACCTGTCAAGCCATTCCACTAAAACTTCAGAAATATATCTGGCCTATAATTGGACACATGACTGACAAGTTTCATGAATCTGACTTTATTATTTTTCCAAATATTTAAAATGAGCTTTTAGACTTGTATAAGAGCTACTTGAACCTGTCAAGCAATTCAACCAAAACTTCGGATATATATCTCACCTATAACTGGACACACAACTGCCAAGTAGTTTTGATCTGACTTTATTATTTTTCCGAATATAAAAAATTTGCTTTTGAAGTTGTATGGCAGCCACCCGAACCGGTGCATCTATCCCACTCAAATTTTTAGAACGTATGTAGAATATAATTGGACACTCGTATACAAAATTTTATATTGATACCTTTATCAGTTTTTGAAATATTTAAAATAAACTCTTTGAGTTGTATGGCAGCTACCCGAACCCGAATTAGTCCAATTACAAAAGGTTCGTCCTTGGCACAAAGGAAACAGCTTGTGAAAATTTGGTTCTGACTACATTATTCGTTTTTGAGTTATCGTGCCATCGGACGGACAGACATGGCTAAATCAAAGCAAAATTTTACGCTGAGCAAGAATATATTATATACGTGTTCATACCGAAGACGACTCATTCAAGTGGTTACAAACTCCATTCCAAAGTTAATATATCGTTCACGAAGGCGCAAGATATATTAACTTTGGTTCAAAAGGCTTCCACTATAATATGTATTTGAAAATTGAACTTTTAACTAAAGTGTCAGCTTTTAATGCAAAAAGTGATTGAAAATATACCGTACATCTGCCCATGGTAGGAAATTAAGTAGAGTATTTATATTTTTTTTTTAACATGATGCAGGTTTGCCAAACAAAACTTTTACCTCAGTTTCAACAAATTTTGGTATTCCAATAATGCCTTCTTTGTTTTTAAATACACATATTTTGAAAATTGGTTAATTTAAATATATTATATTTTTCATTTGAAAAGATTTAATTTTTATCGTGTTTCAGCTAACATCTCCCATAATAGTAATTCCTCTCCATGCGATGTTGTGATTTTCCCAACAAGTTTTGTTTCTACCAGTTAGTAATTTTTCCTTTTTTGCAACAGCACTCACTTTTTTCTAAAACTTCGTTAGTCGCATGGTGAGGAATTTCTTTTATAAATAGGAATTTCTTTTATTTAAATAGTTTTCAAATAAGAAAAGTAATATATTTACCTGTAACTAAAAAACTTTCATAAAATTTTTTACAATTTTCGAGTTCTTCTTCAACGCTGAAATCTGGATTCTTTTGTATATCGTTCAAATCAATCTCATCTTTAAGAAATGTTTTTTTGTTTAACAAAATGGAGCAATGGCTTTAATATATTCGTATTTATTGAATAATACTAACCATTAGATCTTTCTTCATTCAAAATTCCCTCACGGATTCTGGATAAAAGAATGCGAAACTGAAGTTAAATTGAACTTAGATCACTGTCATGTGTTGATGCCATAGCACAAAACAATTTTAAACACGTACATTGTTATTATTATAAGGTATACAATACTATTTCTATGCACGTACGCCACAATAAAATTTAAGAAATTTAATATTATTATGTTGTTTATCAACGTACGACAAAAAAATAAATGCTTAAATTTAAAACGCTATTTTTATATGAAATTTTTGTTGTACATCCCCAAATTTGGCATATAAAATATAATAATGCAAGTTCAATGTACTCATCTGATCTTTACGATAAAAAAACGCTAAAATATCTCAAGAACCAAAAGAGCTAGGGCCGCGAGAGTGACAGGGATGGATAGAGCTTCAAAAATTATTAAAGAGTGCATTTTTAACTAATTTTTTGTCATTTAGTATAATTGTATGACAGTATAATTGTACGACAGTATAATTATACGACAGTATAATTGCGGGGTGACGAAATTTAAAAATAATAAAACAGTTTTCAAAATACTGTTTTACATTTTTTGCAATTCAAATACTTTTGCTTAAACATCTTTGAAGTTGTCTATTGTTGCACACACATTTAAATTCTACTTTTAAAACTTTACCTAATAAAAGAATAAGTATACAAATATTTTAAGAATATTATTAACAACTACGATTTTATGAAAATGGAAACCTTATAATATGCTAGAATACTATGTACAGATAATTCATAACTGTACAGGTAGCCGTAAAAATAATTTCTAAAGGTAACTACTTCTTTGTTCAGTTTTGCAAAATAGGAAGTAATCGCAAAAACAATTCATTTAAAGCAGGTATGTTTTAAGCGTATTTTGATGTATGGTATTTCCAAGACGACCGTATCCAGATATAACTGTACTCAAAATATCGGTTTGATATGTTTGATTGACATTCTGAATAACCCAGCAATTCGTCTTTCTTTTTTTATGTGTCCATTAATTTGTTCTTTCCAATCTAGATTATCATCTAGTATAATACTTAAATAGTTGTACTTATTTATATTTTCAATTTTATGGCTATTATATTCAATGTTCACTTTCTCATTGTATTTATTTTTAAATAAAATGACATTGGTTTTATTAGTATTAATAGTTAATTTATGATATTCCATCCAATCTTTGATTAGTTCTAAGTTTTGTTGTTTTTTGATTAGTTCTTGATAGTTTGTTGTAGTTTTTGATGGTTATTTTCAGCATAAATTATTGCCAAATAATCAGCATACATAAATTGCTTACCATATATTTTAATATCCAGTAGGCTACTTATATAACAGGTAAACAGCGTAGGACCAAGGGAACTTCCCTGTATTACTCCGTAAGTTGTATTTTCTAGACCACTTCTTGTATTCTCACATTCAGCACACTGTAGTCTGTTTGACAGGTAGCTTTTAAACCAAAATAATTCCATTTTCAAATAAAATTCTTAATATAATGTTTCTATCAATAGAATCGAAGGCCTTACTAACATCAAAAAATACAGCTGCTACTCTTTTTTTCTTGTCGATTCCAGATTGTATTTCTGATACTGCATCAAAAAGCGCTGTTTGTGTGCTAGACTTCTGTTTGAATCCATATTGCCTGCTTAACATAAGGTTCGCGTTGATCAAGTGGTATACAAGTTGATTGTTAATTTATGTTTCAATAATTTTACTCAGAACTGATGAAATAGCTGTTGGCCTAAAATTTTGTATATCGTCTTTGTTTCCTTTATTTTTATATATTGGCACTATTCTGCTTATTTTAAGTATGTTCGGCATTGTACCGGTGAATATAGACAAATTCACTCATTTAGTTAAACTTGCCGCAAGTTCTTCCTTGAAAATTTTAATTACCATTTGGGGAATTTCGTCTGTCCATACAGTTTGTATTAGCTAGACCGTCGATTAACTTTTTACATTCTGTTATATTAATTTTTCTAAATCTAAACTGTTTATTTGTTCTGTTTTTTGGAAAATATAACTTATTAAATTGCTTTGCCATAGATTCTTCTATTGTAGCGTAAAAATGATTGAACTGATTAGGCTTTTGGATTCTCTCACTTTCGTTTAGTTCAGAACTGTCAAAAAATTCATTTTTTCTGTAAGCTCTGTTAGTTATTAATTTATTTACATACATCCACTGTTTTTTTGGATCATTTCCAGCTTTTTGAAATTGGTTATAGTCATATTCAGCTCTTTTTTTCTCTTAGTAGCAGTTGCTTTATTTGTCCAGTATTTATATTTATTTTTTATATGTTCACAGTTTCTATTTTTCAAATATTTTTTGTACCAATAATTTTTCCTTTCAATTAAACTAATGCATTCAATATCTATCCATGGTTCTGAGTACTTTGTTTTACTACATTTTGATTTTGTTACAACGGTCGCAATACTAATTGCATTTTGTATAGTAGATGTTAGTTCAGTCGCTGTATTATTTATGTCAAGTGAACTTACACAACAGCTGTTTAATGTTGTTTTTACTTTAGTATAATCTATTTTTTTTAATTACCGATTTCTATTAATATTTTGTATTTTTGTGAAATCAATTTTTAATTCAATTAAAATACCAATATGGTTAGAGACATCATGGTGAAAGATGGATATATTGATGTCGCCATTCAGATCATTAGTTAGGACATGATCAATACAACTTTGGGAAATTGGTCGAGTTACTTCTTTGTGGCAAAACGCAAAACCATTGGACTCAACAATCATTTTGTAATTCTTTACATTATTATCGTAAGTATTGAATGTATTCAGGTTAAAATCTCCCACAATAATTGATTTAATTGATTTTAGGTTTTCTAGATGAGATTCTAGTTTCGTAAGAAACATATTAACTTGGTTCGCTACAAGAATTGGTGGCCTATACACTGCTGTAATGTTTATATTTTGTTTATTATGACTCAATGTAATACTTAATAAACTATTGATTTCGTCACAATAATTAACAAATGGTGTCATATTAAATTGAATGTGCTCATGTATAAATATTGCTACTCCACTCCCTCTTCTAGACGTTCTGCTTGAGAAAAAACCGTAGTAATTTTTTATTTTTATGGGATCATCCTTTGGTTTTTTCGTATCATTTTCTTTGCTGTCAATAAACCAAGTTTCAGACACAAATAATATATGGACAGTCGATTTTAGTACATCTAACATATATTTTAAATCATCTAGTTTATTATTTAAACTTCTCGCATTTAAATACATGATTTTTAGGGAATTCAAGTCATCAAAATGTACATCACGTATGCTATATATATTTGTTTTAACATGGGTTTCTGTTGGCAATCCATAACTATAAGTATTATTGAACATTTAAACTAGTCTCGGAAAGAACCTTTATAATCGGACTATTATCTGTTACCTTAACAAACATATTGCCACTTCCCACCGATGTATATTGAATAATTTTTCTTTTTTTTAAGTCTCTAGCTTGTTTATATAGTGTATTAAAATATTTCGTAAGTCTTTCATTAATATAGATAAGATTATTCCTATTATCTATTTGTTTATCAAATATTTCCATTGTTAGTTTAGCTTTTTTTGCAGACTTTAATATGTTAAGCTTAGTTTCAACTTTGTTAAATTTAACCATAATTTTTTCCGGCTCACCTGGTTTTGTAGACGAATCTCATTCTGTAAATCTCCTTGATGTCATTATTTTCTAATTCAACTCCAATGTTCTGTGATATGGTTTTTATAATAGCTTTTGGATTCTCATCATTGGTTTTACCAATGATGAGAATTTCAATACGCCGCATATTTCAATACATTTTCTGTATCTCTTCTGTTTAAGTTGCTCAATATCTTCTTTCAGAAGTGCGTTTTCATTTTTAAGACGTAAGGTTATCATCAGTAAGATCACTGATAAGATTTTTGAGTTCCATAAGTTCCTTTTGCAGTTGGTTTAAATCTTCGACTTGGGAATTTTGATTTTTTATTATCAACTCCAGTTTACTATTTATGTTTTTTGATACCGGAGTTTCATCCACTTTGTTCCTAGGTGTTTACTTAGAAGATGAATCAATCTGTTGTGCGCCCATCGATTTTCTTGTCTTACGTTTTGACTTACATGAAGTGCAATGCCAAAATTTTTCCTCATCGGTAGCGAGTTCCCGGGCCACTTCATTAGCTACTCCTGCACATTGAATACAGAACAGTTTCTTACTTTGTCCATCACAAATTAGTCCTATATTATGCCTAGGATTAATTTTTTTGTGGCACTGATTGCAAGATACGATGTGAGTATTTGTTGACATTTTGACATTTTCTATACCTCTATGATTGTTTTTTGTGTGATAGTCTAATATTATTCTATCCTGTTCATCATTTTCTTTAATTTCTGTTAAAATTTCAGTACAGCGAATTAATTAAAATGTTTTACTGTGTGAAAAGTGTTGAGAATAAACTGATTGGACTATATTAAATGTTTCATCGTCTGTAAATATTGCGGATAGTTTATTAGGTGCTAAGAGTTCTTTGAAAATTTTTGTTATGTTATCTATTGTTGAGTCCAAAATTCTGAATGTTTTACGTAATTTATTTTGAAAGGGAATTTCTAGGGATCTGAATGGTTTTTTATCAGTTTTGTCTAATATGATTTGGAGGTTAAATTCGTTGAAAGGTCTTTTCGAAATAGGAATACCATCATTATAGTTTTCCTGAGCAGAGTGAATAGTAGAAACGTTTTCTGGCTCCGAAGAGGACGTGGTAGTAGTTTCAGAGTTGTTGACTTAAACTTTCTCTTTAGGTTGCTCTTCAATTTTAGTTTTACTAAGTGCATCGGCGTAAGCATTTTGTCCTGTGGGCCAACTTTAGCCCTGCTCTGTCCTCGCCAGAAAGAAGTCGGTAAGTCACTAGCCGAGCTTCCTTCAATATATGGAGGTGCAGTAGCGGCAACCCGATCATCACCTCCAATGCAGCGGTAGGAGCCATCCGAATTGCCCCGGTCAATCCCAGGCAGGCCAGCTTCTGTAGCTTTTCCAGCTCGGCCCGCACACCCGCTTGTTGAGCCTTACGGCACCATACAATCGAAGCGCAGGTGACGATGGGCCGAGCAAGGGCCGTATATAGCCACAGTGCTATTCTGGGAATGATGCCCCAGGTACTCCCGATAAAGCTCCTACACGTCGACAAGGCCGTCGTAGCCCTCTCGATAACTCTATCTATATGGGTATTCCAGGAGTGACGATCATCCAGGGTTACCCCCAGATACTTCTCCTCCCTAGAATAACCAATACGTTCACGAAACAGAATTGGGCTTGTTAATCTATTCCTGCTTCTGCGTCTGGTGAAGGCGAAGAAAGTGCTCTTGCTTAGATTTATATTTAACCCAACGCCTTCGCACCACCTTTCCACAACACGTAAATTTTGCTGTAGAAGATCAGAAATAGTGCTCTCAAATTTTCCCCGTACGACGAAAGCCACATCCCGTGCCCCGGAGCCCCTGAGAGCTGCGGTTAGATCATCCACTACAATGGACCACAGGAGAAGCGAAAGAACACCGCCCTGCGGACACCCTTTTGCAGCGGAGATGAAAAGTGTATCGTCAGCTATGGTGGACTTAATAATCCTATCCTGTAGCATCCGATTAACCCCTCTGCTCGTGTGCAACGATTTTTGTGACTTTGTGCAACGATTCACAGATGACATGATATGGGGTGTTGTCAGAAGCTCCCTCTATATCAAGGAAGCGGCCAACTGCCACCTCCCACATCTCCAGTGAGTTTTCAAGGACCCCTACCAGACTCTGCAGAGGGAGAACAGTAGACCTTCCCGACTGATAGGCGTACTGAGACTCAGGTAAGGGATTGCTTCCCAGTGCATCGTCCCGTATAAATCTATCAATCACTTTTCCCATTGCTTTCAATAGAAAAGAAGTAAGGCTGATTGGACGGAAAGACCTTGGGTGGTTGCTTGGTCACTTATCCGCCTTCGGAATATACGTCATTTTAGCTACCCTCCACGCCTGAGGGATGTAACCCCACGCATAGCTGGCACGAAAAATTTCCAACAATTCTCTAGCGATATGTTGGAAACCCCTCTGCAAAAATGCTGGATATATCCCGTCATCACCTGGAGATTTGAAGGGCCTGAAAGAGAAAACAGCCCATCTAATCCTGCCCATCTTGAAGGCCAGACGGGATCGTTGCCAGTCATCCCTCCTGGACCAGGATGCCCTCGGTTCAATGACCGCATTTGAGTGATTCCGAAGAATCTCGGTGTCAGGAAAGTGCGTTGACGCCATAAGCTCTAACGTCTGCTTTCCGTTCTCAATCATGGAGCCATTAGACTGTTCCATTAGGCCCAGCACGCTAGGATATTTTTTAGAAAGCACCCTGTGAAGATGCGCACTGCTGGAGAGTTCATCTGGTCTTCAGTCTAAGCCTTGAAAGCTCTTCATTCCACCACGGGCACTTGCTATTGCTCCTCTTCGGTTTAGCGCGGCAGCTCCCATGGTAGGCACTAGTAATAGCCGTCGCCAGAGCCTCGCTGGTCAGTTCGATGTCCACCACCGTTCTGACAGAAGCAGAAAGATCTATCCTGCTTAGGAATTTGTTCCTGGAAAGACTGACGGTTGTCTCGTCCTTTGGCATTCCCATCTTGACTTCGGATAGCCTTTCCTCTGGATGCAGTCTATGAGTGATGGCCACCTTGACCTGTGCTACTGCATCCCGATAAGAAGGCATTTTCGGGTTTTGTTGAGGAATGTTCGCAGGGACCTTTCCCTCAACATTGCCCTTCATCGATCTCTTTTTTGAGGGCCCTGCATCAGGGGTGTTGCTTTCTGACCTTTCCCTCTCCTGGGTATGGTTGGCCACAACATCCGAACCGCAGGCCCTCAGCTTTTCTAACCTTTCCTTCTCATATCTGCAAGATTCCTCTTGGGACATGCCATCCCTTCTGGGGACATGCCATCTCTGATATACGCTGCTATACGCCGCTTGAATGCACCAGAGGAATATTGTTTTTTTTTTGCTGATGTTCAATTGTTTCAGGTCCGCCTCTTGTCCTTAGTATTGTTGTTGTTGTAATTGTCACTGTTGTTATTGTTGTTGTCGTTGTCGTTGTTGTCGTTGTTCTTGTTTTTTGTTGATGTTGTAATTGTTGTTGTTGTTGTAGTTGTTGTTGTTGTTGTCGTTGTTGTCGTTGTTGCAGTTGTTGCATTTGTCACAGTTGTTGTTTTTGTTGTTGCTGTTGTTGTTGTTGTTATTGTTTTCATTCTCAATTTTGTTCCCACGACTAGCGCGGGAAAGTATAGTCAACCATGGCAGAGCTCGGCATACCATAGGAAGGCTTGTTTCAACTGGAAGGCGCCTGGTATCCAGAGTCCGCATACTAACGACTAAGCTCCCCTTTAGGCATGCAGTCATCGGCATATGCTGTTCCACCTTGACTTGGGACGCCTGTCCTCAGCTGAAGTATGGATATAGGGCTGAAACTCACAAAGCAACAGGTTCGCCGCAAGACATGACCACGACACGAACGTAACTTTGATCGTTTTAATCACCACTTTATCCTCCGCCATTACCGGGGCCCACCACTAGGAGGTGACAGTGCGATTTTGGGCTCTGGATCTGTGCCATAAAAGATAAGTTGCTATATGTCGAGGCCTCCCGTCTTATAGATGAGAGGGTTTCGACAAGAAGACTGAAGCGAATTAGAATTCTCCAATTAGCCTAAATTGCTGCTACAGCATTTCCCTGCCCTCCTTCACGAAATATAGACATAAACATTGATAGAGCAACTAATTAGTCAATTTGACTAGTTTTTAGATTTTATGACCATCCAGATGTGTTTTAGGTGGGGTTAAAGACCCGCACTATTGATAGGTTTGATGACAGTTTGGTTCTGCCTATCTTTTTCTTTTGATTATTTTTAAGATATCTGTATTACAATACAAAAAAATTTTTAAAAAGTAATTAATCACAACAATAGATCTGCAGAATCATAGATTATATCTCGAGTGAGATGAAGTGAGTTCGACTAAGATACGACATTTTTATACCAGTTGATAATTGAAGTAATCCTGTGTTTTTATTTATCCAGGTCTAACATATGTTAAAAAAATAACAACAAAAATTACTAGGTTTTAATTCAGAAAATATTATTAAAAATTTAAGTTCTAACATATAATTGATATGAAAATAATACAGGTATTTTAATATTAATAGAAAATTTGGTACATAGGGCGTTTTCGCCAAACCTTTTTTGGCCAAATTAAAAGACAGAAAAAAAAATAGAGTTTATTTAAAAGAAAATTTAATTAATACAATGTGAAACGTAAATTAGGTTCATAGTTGAGGTTTATTTTCCATGATCCAATTTTCCTGCAAATTTCTAAAATTAATACTGGTAACAAACAGAGTCCAAATATTAAATTTGCAGCAATGTTTTCAATTAGTGCCTGAGCTGAGATATAATAAAAAAAATCGGCCCTCAAAGAAATTATATTTTCGAGCCCTGATAATTTAAAAACATTTACTGGTTCATTGTTTTACGCTGTAGATTTAAAATAAAAAATTTCAACAAAATTGATTCATTATTTTCTCGTTCAATGTGAAAAATTTAAATTCAACCCGTAATAAAAGTTCACTTGCTTATATTTGGTTGTAACAAAAAGCAATATGACTTGTTGTGTTACCAGGTAGAGCTTTTATTTAAAAATATATTAGTTGAAAAGACCTTTCTTAAAAATAGTTAGAAAAGTGAAATCGATCTCTTTTAAAGATACAGTTCCAGAGGCCTGACATATCGAAAAAGTTGATCAAACTATCTCAACTTTTAAATAAAGTCTCCTATAAGTTTTCGTGAAGGTCGGTTCAGCCGAATTTGAGATACTGGTCTGCACAGACAGATTAACAGCAGACAGACCGACAGATATCTCCTTAAAAGCAGTTTATTTACGTTCCCTAGCATGGAAAAACACATTTCCACCGAGAACTCGTCATTTGAAATTTTTCTCTTTTACACAGAAATTTAAGCAATACTTAAATATAAGACATGCGTGTTACTTAAAAACATACAAAATCGTATAGAAATCGTACTGAGTTAATATATAAATTTCATGCATTGTTATATCTTCGGCAGCAAAAATTTTGATTTTTTCTACTGTTATTCTAATAGTATCTCTATTGTTAATATGTTTATATATGTTTCGCCAACAAACTAAAGTAGAATTTTGTCATTTGAAAAAACTTCAAACATGGCTCCTTAAACATAACCCTTTCAATTACTATATATGAAATTTCATTTTTATTTAATTTTCTATAATAATATAAAATTTAATTTCAGTTTGTGAATATTTTGCACACATTGAATGTCAAGACTTTGCAGTGCCGGATTGTAAAGAAAATGCAACGTATGTTCCTGGAAAAGAATTATTAAGCGTTCGACATATCGTTAGTACAATTTTATGTTTCATAATCCAATAATGTATTTAATGTCAATATATAACAATTGCTTAAGAATTATTATAATTATTTTTACTATAATTGTTATTATCATTCTTATTATTATTATTATTTTTATTATTATTATTTTTATTATTATTATTATTCTTATTATTGATATTTTTATTATTATTATTATTATTATTATTATTATTTTTATCATTACTATTATAATTATTATTATTATACCCGCAAGAACGTATACGCGTACGAAGGGTATACTAAATTTGCCTTGCTGTTTGTAACGCTAAGAAATAATGGTTTGAGATATACACCTCCGGTCAAGCTTCGTCTGTCCGTCCGTCCGTTCGTCTCAACGACAACTCAAAAACTAATTGTGCTAAGTTTACCAAATCATCATAAATGATTTATTATAGTAAATGACAGAACCCTATTTAAATTGCCTAGAATCGTTGTACTGGTTCGGACACCTGCCATAAAACTTCCAATTTTTTTGGCTATATCACAGAAACTGTAGCGGCTGTTGTATTAAACTTTCACACAAGCGAATATATCATTAGGGCAAAGGTGTTTGATAGAAGTCGCTAAAATTGCTTGGCTCCTTCTGGTAGCTGCGGCACATCTTCAATAATAGTTCGGTCATATCTTAGAAAATATTGAAAGCACAGTAAATACTGAAATTTTGCATAAATTAATATTGTTATACAGCAACTTAAGGAATCTTATTCCGAGAAAATACGCCATAGTTTGTGCCATAATCAGCTAATAATTTCTACTATGGTGCATTCAAAGAAAGTGTGCTATACTTTATCTTGTACAGCACCGCAACGACAGCATTTTGAATTGGACAATTTTCCCATTTTGTGCAGATTAAAATGGAAATATCCTTGACATGATAAAAATGTCGTGACGTAGAAGTTCACCTCTCCGTGTTTCCGGTTTACCCAGATGTCCGTTTGAGGAATTAACCTTGCCGTTCATCTTCTTGTGTGTTCGGAATCCCATCTCTGTTCAAACAATTTATTCGTTGCCTCTAGTGGCGTTTCCCGGTGGGTAGTTCCCACGTCACTAGTAAAGCGACTTTTCTGCTTCTGCCTAACAGATCAACCGGAATTACTCCTGCTATTACAGCTACTGCTGCCTGCGAGACTGTACCTCCTCTGCGCTGCAATGCCACCACGCGCTTCCTACAATATTGTTTTTGAGAGCATCCGCCCATACTTCGACCTTATGTAATAAAGTTGACTGCATCGCCGTAATAAGCAGACGCCTGGGTTCCGGCGGCCGCCCATATTCGCCATGAGCATGCTTAGACTATTAGTGATAGTTGCTGCCTTGCATGTAGCTTATTCAATCTGCTTCCAAAGCATCAACTTTATGTCTAGCATTATTCTTAATTACTTTACTACGCCGGCCGTTTTATTGTCTATTGTGGTAAGCACTGGGATTCATTTTCCTATAAGGATAACGACCTCCGCTTTTTCAGCAGCTAAGTCAAACCCGTGGTTATCTAGCAATTCGCACACCCTTCGTATAACCTGATTTAATTTAGTCTGTGCTTGGTCTAAGTCTCGTACACTGAAAAGTGCTGCCACGTCGTTTGCATATCCTACTAGTAGTGTGTCCTCAGACTTAACAGTCCCTGTGATATCACGTCATTTTGCCGAGTTAAATGCATTTTTTACATTCAATGTAACAAGAAGAATTGGGGTTTTAATAATTTCTCGAGGAGCTTTCCTGCTACATCAAGCATACACAAGGGTCTGAAAGATGAAGCCGTTGTGGTTCCCGCTTCCCTTTGTTTTGATTGATGAGCACTAATCGTGCCGGAGCATTGCTTCCGGACATTCAGAAACTGCTATTTTTATGACCCCAGCCGGAGCACCATGAGGTGCCTTTTAATTTTTTAGTGCTTTTGCTGCCATATCTATGGAACTTCTTTTCTTCGATCCAAAACCATCCTCTTCTTTTTGGATGAGTTGGGAAAAAAGACTCTACAATATTCTCAACCAATCTTGTATCCGAGCCCCCAGGGATCGTTGTTAACTTCCTCACATAGAGCACTTTATTTAGTTACTTACTTTTTTTTATATCAATTCGAAGTTGTTTCCTAAGTTGTTTATGCTGCACAACGCGCCATCCGATGAAGTAGCAGGCATCGCCTACTCTAATCGTTGTTGTGAGGTTATAGTTACTATTTCGAAACCAGTTGTCAACGTTGACATCAATTTGTTGACATTCAGGTTTGACGTATTCCACCCATCATTTCGATTATTATTATGTTTGTCTCGCATTGTTCGAGGAATATCTTGTGATGGTCGCTGCCAGTATAATCCTTGGTAACTTGCCAGTTGCGAATATAATTTTTGATATATACTGAGGCCATACTAACGTCTGGTATCGTTTCGGTGTATCCAGAGCTTCTGAAAGTTGATATATTACCCGAATTTTGTACCGCTCGGTTTTGTGTAGCCACCATCTCTAATATTTGCCTGCCCCTATAATATGTTTCCTCGCCCCATTCCACCGCTTCAGCATTGAAATCGCCGGCAACTGTTACATTTCCTCCTAAGTCCGCCACTTGTGTAACATCTTATCACTTGTGTTCTTACCTGATTCTGCATTTAACTAATCCAGTTCTTATCTTGGTGGTCTTCAGTAATTTTCTGACATCATTCTCCCCCAATTGCCTAATACCCTGTATCTGTTCACTCCTATTTGGCTTCGTGAGTGTGATTTTGCATTCAGCGCACTTTTGCAGGTCCCTTTCAGGCGCCGCTTTTATTTCTAGTAGTCAAAAAATCAGGTCCCTAATTTCGATGGTTGTTTGGTTCGTCAAATGTTTAACTTTTGCTGTCGTTCCCAAAATCTCTTGTAACTCTTTAGTAAGCTTCCCGTTGTCTTTAGTCTTATTCTCCATTTTCACAACCACTTCTCCATTCTGCGTTTTACGAATCTCTTTGATTCCGATCTCTATGATTTCTTGGTTAACCCGATCTTTTATCTCTTTCAGGATTTGTGCATACATTTTCCCCTCCGCTGGTTGTATAATAATGGCCTGCCCACTTGGTTTGCCGATGTTTAATTTTTTGTGGGTCTGTTAAACCTGTGTTTCCACACTTCCTCTGAGATCTTTAGCTATTCGCCGTTTCTCTCTTCTTAGGGTTATTGCGCCTAATTCTATCTGTTCATCCTTACGTGACCGCTTTCCCTTGAGTACAAAAATCTACTCCGTGTCATCCCCTTCCTTGCCTCCCTTGCGTGGGCTTTCGTCCAGGTCCCTGATTCGTTTGCCGCTGGTTGGTGTTGCAACCATGTCATAAATGTTAATAGAAATAATAGAATTACTTGGATTTATTTGGTATCTAACTGGTTCCCCACCTTTTTTTTATGCGTAGCGATTATAATTCAATGGAGTCCTGCATTTCTATGAGTCCTTTTTTGATATTCTCATTTACGTTCTTCTGCTTTATCGAAGCCTGTGTCGTCATTTCGGACAGCTGCCGTATTTTCAGCAACTCCTTTTTTTCTGTTGCCCTTGCATCAGTAGTCACGACTTAAATTTTTTTGAGAAGAAAAGACATGCCCCCACCCGCCTTCTGCTAAGCCCTACTTATCTGCGATATACCAGGCGTGCCCTTAACATTGTAGCGGTTGTAGGGCTCCGGACCCATGTTCCGTAAAGTGTATAATTCTTTTTTCTTCTATCATCATCGATGATACGTGAGTCCTCGCCAGAAGACCTCACAAGGTTCTATTTCATTATCATTATCATTATCATTATCATTATCATTATCATTATCATTATCATTATCATTATCATTATCATTATCATTATCATTATCATTATCATTATCATTATCATTATCATTATCATTATCATTATCATTATCATTATCATTATCATTATCATTATCATTATCATTATCATTATCATTATCATTATCATTATCATTATCATTATCATTATCATTATCATTATCATTATCATTATCATTATCATTATCATTATCATTATCATTATCATTATCATTATCATTATCATTATCATTATCATTATCATTATCATTATCATTATCATTATCATTATCATTATCATTATCATTATCATTATCATTATCATTATCATTATCATTATCATTATCATTATCATTATCATTATCATTATCATTATCATTATCATTATCATTATCATTATCATTATCATTATCATTATCATTATCATTATCATTATCATTATCATTATCATTATCATTATCATTATCATTATCATTATCATTATCATTATCATTATCATTATCATTATCATTATCATTATCATTATCATTATCATTATCATTATCATTATCATTATCATTATCATTATCATTATCATTATCATTATCATTATCATTATCATTATCATTATCATTATCATTATCATTATCATTATCATTATCATTATCATTATCATTATCATTATCATTATCATTATCATTATCATTATCATTATCATTATCATTATCATTATCATTATCATTATCATTATCATTATCATTATCATTATCATTATCATTATCATTATCATTATCATTATCATTATCATTATCATTATCATTATCATTATCATTATCATTATCATTATCATTATCATTATCATTATCATTATCATTATCATTATCATTATCATTATCATTATCATTATCATTATCATTATCATTATCATTATCATTATCATTATCATTATCATTATCATTATCATTATCATTATCATTATCATTATCATTATCATTATCATTATCATTATCATTATCATTATCATTATCATTATCATTATCATTATCATTATCATTATCATTATCATTATCATTATCATTATCATTATCATTATCATTATCATTATCATTATCATTATCATTATCATTATCATTATCATTATCATTATCATTATCATTATCATTATCATTATCATTATCATTATCATTATCATTATCATTATCATTATCATTATCATTATCATTATCATTATCATTATCATTATCATTATCATTATCATTATCATTATCATTATCATTATCATTATCATTATCATTATCATTATC